GGGGCGGCGGCCCTGGCTGCCCTGCCGGTGCTTAATCATCGACGAGATCTCCATGGTGGATGGCCAGTTCTTCGACAGGCTGGAGGCAGTGGCACGGTGAGTGATCGTCAGGCCAGACAACTTGCAGAAATGAGTTTCCCAAAATTTCTGGGTTGATTCATTCCTCTGGTTATGTGAATGAATACAAGGCAACCACTGGCACAGGACTGTGAGGAATTCTGAAATCACAGACAGTGTCTGGGAAGACCTTTATCTTGGATAGTTTTTGATAGTGTCCCGGATCCCTAGCTGTGACTGTTCTGGTTGCTGTTTCTATCTCTGGAGCCAATTGTTTCCTGTAGAGCTGAGTCCAGAATGCAGATGTCTGTGCTGTGCCCAGCAGCTCTCTTGCAAACAGAAGCTGTTACAGTGTAACAGCTCTCTAGGAGCCAAGACTAGTAATGACATCTGGGATGGGTCCATAAAGAAAAATGAATGGCTTGTAATAGCAATGTTTAATTTAAGTTCTTCTGACACAGTTGAGGACAATCACCTTTTACTGTAGGTGGTGCATGTTTGAATATACTGACAGACTAAGAAGTAACTTCTGAGACCTGACTATGCCCAAGTCCTGCAGGGCACTCAAAGCTTCTTTTATCATCTTTTCTCCTCTTTCCTTTTCAGGGCAGTCAGAAAACGGGACGAGCCTTTTGGAGGAATTCAGCTCATCATCTGCGGGGACTTCTTGCAACTACCCCCTGTCCGCAAGGCTAATGAAGAAACCAAGTTCTGCTTCCAGGTACAAAACTGTCCCTAAACTCATCCTTATGCTTCAACTCTGCCTTTTTCTTAACAAGAGAATGGTTTGCCAGGCAAAAAGCTGGAGGAAATGCATCCACATAAACATGGAGCTGACTGAAGTGCGGAGACAGACTGACAAGACCTTCGTCTCGCTCCTGAATGCAGTCCGCTTAGGCAGGTGAGGAAAGGTTCTGCTCTCACTGAAATCTCTGCTCCCTGCTGATGCAGCAGAGGAAAGAACAGTTTGTCATGTCTTTCCTGTGCTCTGTCAAGAATGTGTGGCTGGGGTAAATAGCTATAAATGCTGCAGTAAATGTAAGTAGGTTTTATGTATGCCCCTCTGGTAAGGAAGGGTCCTTTCTAGGGTCCCTTTATAATTTCTGTTAAGGAATGCAATGGATCCTAAGCTGGCAATGGCAAGGGATGGCCTGGGACAGACACTTGCACTGCTCTCCAATTTGTAGTTATCTTTCTCTGCCCTTCTGTCTTGAGGCCTGAAGCTTGCACAGGTGATCCAGCTGTGTGAAGGTTACTGCTCCTTAAGATCTGTTCCTGATCACTTCAAATAATAATCCCCTTTTCCCACACCAGGTGCACAGAAGAGGTTACCAGTCTGCTGATGCAAACCGCTACTAACAGGTCTGAGCGTGATGGGATCCTGGCTACGCGGCTCTGCACCCATAAAGACGATGTAGAAATAACTAACGAGAGGCGCTTGCAACAGCTCTCAGGTGAACTCCTTGGAGGAAGCTGCTGGCTTTGGGCCTGAGCTCTGCATAGATGCAAAGGGGTCGCTGTGGTATCAGGAGGAACTGGTGCACATGTACAACAGAACCAGTCCAAGCTGTGTGTGTTGAAATTAAGCTGCCTGGGGATAAAAACATTACAAATTTTTGTTTAAAAATCCACACTATTACTTTTTGGTTTATAATAGACCACAAGTTTGCTGTGGGGTTGGGTGGGTCATTATTGCCTCAATATCCTTTCTTCTTCTATAGCACCTTAGAAAGGCTGTACTCCATCCAGGAATAACTTGGACTAAGGGCTGTTTCATTTTTTAATTTCCTGGCGGCCCTAGGATTCTTCCTTAGTCCTCTTTGGAGATCTGATGTTGGCAGTCAATTGAAATTAGTTATATGCTCAAAATAATGACTGCTCAGTTCCTATTAACTGCTGGCCTGTGTTTTCTGAGCCTTCTTGTGCCTTGGGAGATATGTTGGAAAGAGAGGCAATAGTGACTTTACTGCTGTTAGATGTGACAAGGTTAGTGAGAAGATGCACTACCAGCAAAGCAGAGTGGATATTAAAGAAGAATTACTGTTAGAAATAAGTGCTGGGTCTCCTGCAGTGCTGTGTGGATTATGTTCAATGGTTGCAATCTGTCACATCTCTCTTTCCTCAACAGGAGAAGTGCACACTTTTGAGGCTTTGGACAGTGACCCCATGCTAGTGAAGTTAATTGATGCTCAGTGTCCTGTGGGTGGTAGAGTTGAACTAAAACTTGGAGCTCAGGTGGGTGTGTCCATGTGCACCTGTGAAAGACCAATGGATCAAATGACACTAAAATAAAAAGAAATAGCAGATAAATATATAGGGTAGATTAACGTATAGAATGCTGATTCTGTATAGAATGGCTCTGCTAGGCCAATGGAAGACCCTACCCCCATATTTGCATCATTTCTGCTTAGAAACTTACCCAGACAGATAATTGATTTGATCTCAGGCCCACGTCTGGTGGACAGTGGTGACCACTATGACCAACACATACTTCCAATCAGGTTTAGAAGCTTCCAGGTAGCAGAAAGCACAGGCAGTCCTTGCCTGCAGTCTCAACTGTGGGTGCACCAGCCCTCCTGACCTGTAAGGATATGGCACAGATTACCACATTTGCAGGACTGGACTCCTTGCTGTGAACTAGGACTGTCAGAGTGGAAGAGATCTGATCGTTCTTAGCAGCAGCAGCACTGTTTTCCTTGGAAAGTTA